CTGCACTGAAAGTAAAGGGGCCCAATAATATTGCACGCCCCACTTTTAGTTTAGTTTAGTTTATTTTTTGAATATGTAAACAGAAATATATATATATATATATATATATATATATATATATATATATATAGCATGAAGGGAGTGGGTAGAAGTATAAACTTATCAAAATTCCCACTCCTTAACCACTTACATAATCTTACATTCATTACATGTATAATCCATACACTTAACAACTAATCCCATATTTATCCATCAATATAGTATCTATTTAAATTAACTATAGTAGATGAACAGTTCGTCTTCGTCCCGAAACGGAAGACGGTTTGTCTGTGGACTCGATCCTGGTGGCCGTGTCTAGGTCCACTCGTTCAACTCCTGAGCAGATAAACATGTCGCTCAAATTATAATTGTTAGAAGTTTAGATAACCACAGAAGATGAATCCTTTTCTCACTGCAAGACTCACGTTCTCGGCTGAAGGTGCCGATGGACGGTGCACCTTCTCATCAGGTGTTCCCTCACAGACCCTGAAGCTGTCACAGTGACGGTCAGCTACCTTGGGCAGTTCCTGGTGAGTCCTCATGGTGTCTCTGGTCAGATCCACCAGAGAACCCCAGAAAGATGAGTGGTGCCATCAACACTGACCCAGTAAGGAGCAGAACCTGGTGACATGATGCAACTCTCTATTTTCAGCTGATGCAACTTGGTAAATCATTTCCTGCTTGCAGTGACGATAAATGACTTTATCTGATCAGATTAATTAACTTCTTTCAACCAACATGCAAAGTAAACTATTTATTAAAATAGACAAACTTTGTCTAAATTCATGCGCGTATAAAACTGAAACAATTCCTGCTCAAAGAGTCAATTTAGTCTTAGATAAGAGAATTAAGCCTTGATTGATTCATTATTATTGTTTGTTTATTGTTGTTGTTGATTTTTTGTTTAATTATTTTTGTAATAAACTTCAAAGACAACTTTGTTGTCTTCATTCAGATGAATATTCATGTGTTCTGGTATAAAACTCTCTGTAATCAACAGATTCTACTTCAGTGACTGAGTTCTGATCATTAAAGGGTGAAAATATTAATTAAGTTGTTGTTGGTCAGTAAACTGACCGGCTGGTGCTCCACTTTAATAAGAGCTAAATAAATAAAATAAATGTAGTGGAGGGGAGTGGAGAAAGTGTCACCCTTCTTCCTCCATCTCACACCCTTCATATTGTTACACAGCCTTCTGAGGAAGTAGAGTCTCTGATGAGCTTTCTTGGTCAGGCTGGTGGTGTTGTTGCCCCAGCTGAGGTTGTTATTCAGGTGCACACCCAAGTACTTGTAACTGGAGACCACTTCCACCACAGATCCAGGACCCAGTTGCATATGGTGCATTCACACCTGATAGTCCAGTTGACTCGGTTCGGTTCGGGACCAATATTCATGACCTTTTGTTACATTTGAGCTGGTGCGTTTGCATTCACACTGCACTGTGCAGTCGAGTCAACCTGTTGAACCAACCTGTTCCCCCGCTCGCCTGTGGGGGCGCTGCACCAAGAACTACTGAAAGAAACGACACAAAAACCTCTGAAGACACTTCTTCTGGAAATAAAAACAAAAACGAAGTGGCATCAAGTTTTAGCAGTTTTAGGAGTTATATTTTGTCATTTTTCAAAAATGGACTTAGCATGAGCAGAAGATGAGACAGAAGACCATGGAGAATATTGTTTTTCACACAAGGCAGCTGACGGCTCCATATAAGGTCAGAGAAATGCGTGTTTGTTTGCCCTGCGTTGTACTCCACTTCTTGCTTGTGGAGCGGGGCTCGGTCTGTTTACATTCACACTGTACTCCAACTGCGCTGGAGTTTTGTTCTACCGGACTGAGACCTAGGTTTTAGCCTGGGCCAGAGTTCAATGGTGCTTTCACACCTCCCCAAACGAACCGGACTTTCTAGGAAAACGAGCTAGAGTTCAATTAAAGCGGACTAAGCAGGGCTGGTGTGACTGCACCCCTAGAGTGAGTAGGTTGTCCATCAGGATTTGGGAGATGGTGTTGAAGGCAGATGTGAAGTCCACAAAGAACATACGGACGTAAGAGTCCTTCTACTCCAGGTGGGTGAGAGCAGTGTGGACCACAGAGCAGATGGCATCATTGTTGATTGATTCTTGTGGTATGCGTACTGGTGAGGGTCCTCACTGATGTTGATGGTAGCTTTGATATGGGCTATGACCAGTCCTTCAAAGCATTTAGCGACTATCCGGGCGAGGGCTACTGGCCCGTAGTCATTCAGACCAGTCACTGCAGAGCTCTTAGGAACTGGGATGATGGTGGCGGTCTTCAGGCAGGTGGGAACAGTTGCCAGGGTGAAGGAGGAGTTAAAGATGTCGTCCAGCACTTTGCAGAGCTGATCGACACAGTCTCTCAGCACCCTCTCAGGGATGTTGTTTGGGCCAGTTGCTTTGTGAGGATTAATCCTCTTGTCGGTCCTCCTTACTTCAGCTGAGGTCATGCTGAGGAACTCCTCTTCCGGTGGTGAGGTAAGTCTGGTGCTGGGTGGTCTGTTTGGGTCTTCAAAGTGAGCATAGAAACTGTTGATAGCATCAGGCAGTGATGGGTCCTAAGGGCATTGTGCACCCGTGCTTTTATAGTCTGTTATGCACTTTATGCCCTTCGATATGCTCCATGGGTCATGTGAGGAGAAATGTCCCATGATCTTCTGTGCGTATATGGCTTTGGCCCTCTTAATACCAGCAGCCAGCTCTTTCCTTGCCCTCCCCAGTTTGTGTGTTGCTAGACCTGAAGGCATCCCTGGCTTTTTGCAGGATACGAACTTCTGCGATCAGCCAGGGTTTCTGATTTGGGTAGCACTTCACAGTCTTGGGGGTGGTGACATTTTCAACACACTTGCTGATGTATCTGAGGGCAGCAGATGTGTATTCCTCCAGATCCAGCTGTCCCTCATTTACAGCAGCCTCCCTGAAGATCTGCCAGTCTGCATGCAAAACAGTCCTGCAGTACAGAGTCACTGTCGCTGGGGCACACCATGAAGGTCCTCTTTGTGGGTCCGGAACATCTCAGTGGGGGTAGGTAGACAGGGGTCATAAAGATGGAGATGTGGTGAGAGAGGCCGAGGTGGGGTACGGCTTTATATGCGTCTCGTATACTGGTGTAAACATGGTCTAGTGTGTCATTTCCTCGTGCTGGTATGGTCCCGTGCTGATAAAATCTTGGCAGAGTGTCTTTCAGGTTTACATGATTAAAATCACCGGCCACCACGTAAAAAGCCTCTGGATGCTTGTTTTGCAGCAAGCTGATGTTATCATGTAGCTCCCGCAGGACATACTTAGCATTAGCATCCAGAGTTATATCGACAACGATGTATACACTGCTGAAAACTCCCGAGGTAAATACTGTGGTCGACATTTCACAGTCAGTTCTAAAGCCTCTGAGCAGGAGCTGTTTATCAGAACACAGCTTGTGGACTAACTTTTGTTTATGTAGACACATACTCCGCCTCCCTGTGCCTTTCTCAATAGTTTGCTGCAGCGATCCGCCCGAAAAAAAATTCTGTCATCCAGCTGAAAGGCTCAGTCTGGCATGTTGTTATTAAGCCATGTCTCTGTGACACGGAGTACTGCACATTTCATCATCTCCTCTAAGACACTCACTCTCAGTCGCAGAAGATCCAGCTTGTTTTCAAAGGAGTGGACGTTGGCCAGGAAGAGAGATGCGATCGGCAGTCTGTTAGCATTAGCCTTAGTCTCGTTAATACTCCGCCTCGTTTCCCCTCTTCTTCCCCTGGGCACAGTGCTTCCTCCTCCCCTTAGAGCGCTGATGTCCGTAGAAACTGTAATCTGCCAAGCATAGTTTTCAGATCGTTGTCGATCGTTGTCATTGCTGCTGTATTCGACGTCAAACCTTCTCTTATGCTAATAAGTTAGGTTCATCTAAAATTAACTAACATGTTTAAAGCGTGCGGAGTCAGGTTTGGAGCCGATTTCAAAAACGAGAAAAACAGGGTTTCCACTGGGAGCCTGAGAAGCTGCAGTGAGCACAGCCATCTTGGCTTTTTTTTTCAAAACAAAATTAAATTCAAAATTATCATCTTTACATTTGCATACATGAATGCAACAAGTCAAATAATACATTTTAATTTGTCGCCTTGCATAAATGTATAGATTATTGACATATATATATATACATATATATATATATATATATGTAATACAAACATTTTCATTCATTCAACCTTTATTTAGACATGTTGATCCCATTGAGCCTCGGGGACTCATTTACAAGAGAGACCTGATTTAACAGAGTGATGACAACAGTGGACAACAGTGATAACAACAGACAATCATAAAAGAGGCATACAGATTAAAAAAAAAAAATTTAAATTAATTAAAATAAAACATTAAAATAAAACAACCCATATTCAACAAAGTTGGTCTTTTGAACAGGCAGTTTTAGGACTAACTTGTCATATTCCAGTTAATAGCCTTGCTGATGTCATTCATGCTGCAGGGAGGGGAAGAAGACGCTGCCCCTAGCCGAACTGGACGTCTTTACCTTTTTGAGTGTCGTCAAGAGGGGCCGTTGAGACCCCCTCTCACGGAGCTACAGCGCACAGACACTGCAGCGATTTTAGATTTAAAATGGTAAGGAACCAGGTTTGACCAGCGTGGCTGCATTAACAACCATTTCCTGCTTTTATGAAGTTTTTATTATTTTCAGGTGCCATGTTCCTGTGGCAGAGCAGCCGGTGCTGGGGATGGCTGCGGCTACAGGAGAGTTGCAGATGTTCACACTGTCAGACAGTCAGGTGAGAAACGTGGCTTCAGAAGAATCACATCTGGAGGTTTTAGAGGAACCTTTGGGTGTGGTGTCTCAGCACCAGAGGGTGCAATGCGGATTAAACAAAAAAAAACTACTGGACTTCTGGATGGTTTTGCAATTCAGAAATGGGGAATGTGGAGATCCAAGCTTGAAGTTGTATGAGTGGTTCCCATTAGTCAGAGAAACATCCAGGAGGCCAAAGATAAGTCTGAAGGAGCTGGGCAGGCTTTATTTAGAGATGTCAGGATCTGTCCACAGGAGCTGCATAAAGGGTTAAACACAAAACAAACAAAAACATGTACAAATGTTTTTAGTATACCAAATGTCTCCTTTTTTGTCCTCACCCAAATCTAACTTTTCACTCTACAGTTCTGCAGTATCGTTACACAGATGAGCTTTTTCAGTTTGTTTGTTTTAACTTACTTTTGCTTGTTTACAGAAAATCCAATTAAACCAACTAATTCAACAAATGTTTATCTTACACACTCAAATCTGGCAAGATGAATCCCACAGACTGACAGCAGCTCCACATCTGGACACTCCATGCTTTGTTCTCTAAAACAGTGGTCCCCAATCTTTATAGCGCCACGGACCGGTTTAATGTCCGACTATATTTTCACGGGGGGGTTGGAGTCTGAGGGTCCTACCCCAGAGAACTTTGGATAGAGTAGATGCCATTTCCTGCATTCTGGTGTATTTTACAAAGGTTTATTACAGTAGATTAACATGAAACAAAAGTTGGAAACTCATTAATGAAATGACTGCAAAGTGTTCGTAATGCAAAACTGCTGCAGCTCTGCAGGTAAACCGCTGCAGCTCTGCAGGTAAACCGCT